GCTTGAATTCTAAATAACTCCTGATTTCCCGCTAATAGATCAGGTCTGCAGTCTGAGTGACTGTGTTTAAACGAAAATAATGCTGAACTAGAATCAGAGCAAACTATGCTTCTTAATGGACGTATTTCTTCAGTCCATTTTAAGGCCATCATGATCCCAAACATTTGTAGACTGAAACTCTGACACTGATTCTTTTACTTGAGTTACAATAAAATTCTGGAACTATAAACAAAGCAACATTCCTATTATTTGAATCTTTTGAAGCATTTGTAAAAAAGATGACAAAGTCATATTATTTCTCATCTGAATATTGCTGAACCATATTTGAATTAGAGATATTCTCCTTGTTTTTCCGTTTAAACAGCCAAGTTAAATCCGTATCTATATTAGGCAACAATGATGGGTGACTTAAATACCTAATAACTGGTTTACCAACTTTTATATATATATATATATATATATAAATAATTCTAGATCTTTTATATTATTATCTGCTGACCATCCAAAGGAATTTAATTTTTTCCTCCCCCCTCCCCAACATTGTTTTGAAATTTCTTGGCATGGATGAGCTGCACAATGATTCATTACATTAAACCAGTAAGTAGAAAGTAATTGTAATCTCAACTGTAGTGGCATTTCCCTCCCATTTCTACCTGTAATGCTGATGTTGGTGTTGTTTTTATGGCCCCTGTGTGTCATGATGGGTCTAATACTTCTTGCCCACATGCAGAAACACTCACAGAGAGATAGTTAAAGTTTGAAAGCTTTTTCCTTTACACAAAAAGACAGAAATCGGGTAATCTCAGCTTGGTGGGTCCTGCGGCAAGGAATCCAGGTGCGACTGCACAAAAGGAGAGAGTGATAAGGTGAGTTCACAGTTGGTGGGCAAAAAATGCAGAAGACTGATGCTCTGTTCTTACTTGAACTAGCTGCTTGAGTTGGAGGGTGGTCAGAGGTTCCAGTTTGTGGAGGCCTTACCTGGTTGAAGGTGGACGAGTCGTTGGAGGGCAGACAGGTAAGTTTATGGTGGCACAGAGGAGCAGACTCTAAAATGAAAATCTTGATGTGGTTGGAGCTCAGAAGAGGTGAGTAGTGGAACTCTCAGCATCTCGAGAGGTTTTCTTCCAGGGCAGGAAGGACTTGAAAAATCCCAGAGGATCTTAAGGTTTCCTGCCGAAGATTCACAAGAGAAAAAAGGTAAGACCATGAATTCACAAGAAAAGTTCAGTGATTAACTTAGCAAAGCTCAGAGGAGCTAGAGTACCCAAAACAGGCAAACAGTCTGACAAAGAGGTGATGACAGTCAGCTACTCCTCTGACCTGATGAATGATTAGTTGCAGGTGTGGGTAGTTGAGATGTGTAGGCAAGCCCTCGTAGACAGGAGTAACCAGATGGCACCATCTGGTGGACGAATGGTGGAACTGAAAAAGAAAACTAACTACAAACTGGAACCACAACACTGTGCATAATCTAAATGCTGGATAATGAACGATATCAATTTTTTAAAGTAATGACTCTGATGCTGAACCAAAAGGAATACATCCATAATCAAAAACAGACCTAATCAAACCTGTATAAATTAATTCCAATGCTTTCCGCTCAGCTCCCCACTCATTCCCCATCAAACACTTCATAACATTTAGAGCTCTTTTGCATTTATCAATCATCTTTTCATTATGAACTTTTCAAGTAAGTCTTTCTTCCAACCATATGCCCCAAAATTGTAATTGTTTTACCCTTTCTAGGTCATATCTATAAGTTTTTAACTTTGTATCTTCAATATCTTTTTTCCTTGTAAAAAACAAAGCCTTATACAGAAATTTTGAATCCCCATCTAAAGGACCAGTCTTCTATTTTATGAATAGCTTCTTGAACCTTTTTAAATAAGAGACCTACATTTTTACAAAACGATTGCCAGTAAACCCTTTTTGCACATTTTACAGTTCTTTTGACAAGAGCTTGTGATCTTATATATTCCATAAATGACTGATAATTTGGATTTTTCTTTAACATTTGAAATGCTTTATTTCGAGATTTAATCGCAAAGTCACAATCTTTTGTCCACCATGGTACTATTTTCTTATTCCCGCTTCTTTTTTTTGCTTTGGATAGATTGTCGAGCTGCAACTAATACACATTCACAAACAGAAACATTTATGTTATTAAAATCTGACTTAATATGAACCTTTTGCATTTCTACATAGCTAATTCTCTTATATTTTTCCCAATCAGCATTTGCTAAAAACCCATCTTTCTATACCTTCAATATAACTTTGTTCTACCTCAAAGCCCACTTTTATTAGTATTGGATAATGATCACCTCCTATGGTTGAGTCTTTTAAAACTTTCCAATTATTGATTCGTGCTATATCTTTAGATACTAATGTAAGATCTATTGCTGATTCTGATCCATTGCTAATATTAATTCTGGTACCACTTCCATCATTAATACAAACCAGATTCTGTATATCCATTATTTCTTCTATCACCTCTCCATTTGAATTATTATTACTATCCCAAAGTGTACGGTGAGCTTTAAAATCTCCACAACAAATTACCTTACAGTTTATATTTTCAATCAATTCACCCCTTTCCTCTAAACAAAGTTTTTTTGCAAGGATTATAGAAATTAGATATTTTAATAATTCCATATTTAATCAAAATTTCTACCGCTAACATTTTGTAATTGTTTCCCTCTTCCTATAAATCTATATTGAGTTCCCCGTTTTATTAAGATTAAACATCCATCCCACTTTCCTCTTCCCTGTCCCTTTGTACAATATCATATCCTTTTATCACAAAATCTAATTCTGTTTTAAGCCATGT